ATCTGCACCGATCTCTCACTTAAATGATGACATTTAGGTTTTTTATGGCATTTTTTCTTCAACTTTTGTTTTAGTTGATAGCTTACAACTTGCTGACTCCCGTTAAGAGCTTTAGCCATGCTTGTCTGTGTTGGAGGATCCGGTTTTGATGTCATCTTATCAAGCTTCTGCAAATCTGATTTCTTCAATTTGCTTGACCGTCCACTTCTTTTTGGTTTTGCATTATTTTGCATCGATCCAAGTTTTGAATTCTTGATGCGACTGATATGGCTGAGTGAAATCGCAATACCTTTCTTTTTAAAATGGGTTTCTATAATTTTGTGGCTCCATCGAAGTTCTAAAAATGCTTGTACTTGACCAATTAGCTTTTTGTCAAATTTCTTCAAAAGCATCTTTGTGATTTTATGAAATAGTATTGCAAATGAAAGTCAAATAGTAGAGCTTTAGATCAGTATGCTATATATGTAAAAAGGTTTTAAAACTTTAGTGGTAGATAACCACAAAAGTGATCCCTATAATTTTTTGTTACCCAGTATAAACAGTTTTTCAAAACTTCAAAATTGCTAGTTTCAAGAACAGCTAGTTTCAAGTTTTGAGAATGAAAATCCTGTGCTTGGAAAAACAATTATTATTTTGTGAAAAGGCTACAAAGTTTTATTTGTGTGTAATCTTTTTAATTCTTGTTGTGTTTTTACAATCAACTGAAAAATGTGATGTGCTTAAATTAATAGCACCAGAAAAATCTATAATAATGAATAGATGATAATGAATATAATAATGAATATGTAATAAAAATATTGCTTTTCCTCAAATACTCACCACCATTTAATAATTTGTAAAAATAATGACAGTAATTTTTTTCCAAACTGAGCCAAATTTTAATCTATTTATAAAGTTATAATTTATGTTTGTAAAAAAGCAAGTTTGTTATATTGCAAATTTTAATTCAGATGCAAATTTTAATCAAGAAATTTAGCATCTTATTAAAATAATGAAAATTATTTTTAGATTATCCCAAATTTCAAACCTGTAAGCATTCAGACAGTAAGCATGCTAACATAATTTTCATTTTAAATTACTGTAAATTAAAAATAAGTTTGAATTGAGTGTAGTCCTTTAGTAAAAAAAAATCTATTATCTGTCATATTTTTAAGTGAATATTTTGTATTTTTTCAATAAATGCTGCGATATATTTAAATTTCAAGATTTTGCATTAAAATTTATATATTCTGTGTATGTATGCAAACATCAAAGTGATTGTAAATGAATAAATTATGTTTGAAAATCGATCTGCATCTATGTATTTTTTGTTCATATTTCCAAGTTATGTCATTATTTTTACATTCCATAATTTACTTCAAACTTAATATTTCCATACGCCTATATAATTAATATTCGAATGTTTCCTTAATTAGAGATAGGGGTTGACCAAACCAATACTTGCCTAATCTTTTATATAAATTTTCATTTGTGAAAGTAATATTTTCATTTTAAAATAATAAAATAATTTCTAAATACATAGTAAAAAGAATTTGCTTCAGCTTAAAATTAAAATTCTCTTTAGAACATTAGTGGTACTAACTCAAATTAGTGGTAAATTTTGGCTTTCAAAACTGGTGTTCTTATTACATAACTGAAAAGTCAATTAAACAGAATCAAGGGTTTTCATACCATATTATCATGATGAAATTATCAAATTTTACCACATTTACCAAATTTTTCAAATATTATGAATTTATATTTCATTATTAGTTTAAACAAAATTATTAACATAGCACTTCATTAAAATTTAAAGAGTTTTTTTTTGTTGATATTCCCATAGACCAATGGAACCAATTTACCTTATTCTGTTAGTTTTAACCATCCTTTTTTTCTGTGCATTAAACATTTCGTTAAGCTTGATTAATCAGCATTTTTTGTAAATTATGCAAAATTTAATCATACAGTTATATTTGAATTTTTCGATATCTTGTAAAATTATCGATTCAGTATAATTTAAAATACCTTCAATAAATGAAAATACAATGCTAATGCCTAAAAAAACTTAAAAGATAATATTTACAATATATTTATAACCTGAATGGAAAGTTATAAACATTAATTAGCTCATTTGATATTTGTAGTTATTTAACTTCTCATTTTGCGAAAAACCACTAATTGGGTACTTGCTCTTAGGCAGAAGTGAATAGCAGAAGAAAAAAATCACGGACACCCACCTATGTCGTCAGCGTCCACTGATTGCTTATAATTTAATGGCATGTTAAAATTAACCTAAGTTTCTCCACATAAGTTAATGTGTTAATTAACGTGAAGTTAATAAAATAGAGCACCGTATCGCACATCGAATTTGTTGAAATATAATTCTTTCTCGTCTATGGCTTTGTGTTAGATTCGTTGTGTAGGAATGTAGAATGTATAACTTAAGAGAATTGATCTCTCTCTCTCTCTCTCTCTCTCTCTCTCTCTCTCTCTCTCTCTCTCTCTCTCTCTCTCTCTCTCTCTCTCTCTCTCTCTCTCTCTCTCTCTCTCTCTCTCTCTCTCTCTCTCTCTCTCTCTCTCTCTCTCTCTCTCTCTCTCTCTCTCTCTCTCTCTCTCTCTCTCTCTCTCTCTCTCTCTCTCTCNCTCTCTCTCTCTCTCTCTCTCTCTCTCTCTCTCTCTCTCTCTCTCTCTCTCTCTCTCTCTCTCTCTCTCTCTCTCTCTCTCTCTCTCTCTCTCTCTCTCTCTCTCTCTCTCTCTCTCTCTCTCTCTCTCTCTCTCTCTCTCTCTCTCTCTCTCTCTCTCTCTCTCTCTCTCTCTCTCTCTCTCTCTCTCTCTCTCTCTCTCTCTCTCTCTCTCTCTCTCTCTCTCTCTCTCTCTCTCTCTCTCTCTCTCTCTCTCTCTCTCTCTCTCTCTCTCTCTCTCTCTCTCTCTCTCTCTCTCTCTCTCTCTCTCTCTCTCTCTCTCTCTCTCTCTCTCTCTCTCTCTCTCTCTCTCTCTCTCTCTCTCTCTCTCTCTCTCTCTCTCTCTCTCTCTCTCTCTCTCTCTCTCTCTCTCTCTCTCTCTCTCTCTCTCTCTCTCTCTCTCTCTCTCTCTCTCTCTCTCTCTCTCTCTCTCTCTCTCTCTCTCTCTCTCTCTCTCTCTCTCTCTCTCTCTCTCTCTCTCTCTCTCTCTCTCTCTCTCTCTCTCTCTCTCTCTCTCTCTCTCTCTCTCTCTCTCTCTCTCTCTCTCTCTCTCTCTCTCTCTCTCTCTCTCTCTCTCTCTCTCTCTCTCTCTCTCTCTCTCTCTCTCTCTCTCTCTCTCTCTCTCTCTCTCTCTCTCTCTCTCTCTCTCTCTCTCTCTCTCTCTCTCTCTCTCTCTCTCTCTCTCTCTCTCTCTCTCTCTCTCTCTCTCTCTCTCTCTCTCTCTCTCTCTCTCTCTCTCTCTCTCTCTCTCTCTCTCTCTCTCTCTCTCTCTCTCTCTCTCTCTCTCTCTCTCTCTCTCTCTCTCTTCTCTGATCTGTTGCTGTTTATCTGTGTTATTATGATTTTATTTGAATTTTTTTAGTAATTTTAAACTAATATAAGTATTATTTTATAATGTTGAATATAAACAATGCGCGTGCGCAAGTTTTTCTTTCGACAAATCAATGACATTCAAGAACTTGGATAGAGTCGACGAATCATCCAATTTCTTGGACACAGAAATCCCTCCTATTTCTAGGATTCAAGAACTTGGACCGTGTAAACAGGCCTTTAGCTCCAATCAAAACAAGTTTTAATCAATTTCAATCAATCTTCGTCCAAAAACTTGGATCGTGTAAACAGGTCTTAATTCCTATCAACCGTTTGAATAAAGAGCAGCAGTGTAAACAGATTATTATCCCTTTTTTTTTGTCTGGAGACAAGGACAATAAAAGATTAAAATTACCAAATGAATCGCAAAATGATTGATAGTTCTGAAGATCATTTTGGTAATTTTATCATGATACTTCATTACCCTGGCATAAAAACCGTTTAATTGGGCTACATTTACTTTTGAGTTCTTTGTTTGTTACTAAATTTAAAGCAATAAGAACTGAAAGTTTGAAAAACAGAATTTCCGGTAAACAGTAACAACAGCGAACGGTAAAAATAACCTTTTAAATTGTTTAAATACCGTCTATTTTAGTTTAATTTTTAGAATTGTGGTTTCTTTCCCTAGAAATGTTTTTACCATCCAAGTATGGTGATTTTGCAAGAATTTTTTTCTTGCGTCTTGCAAAATTTTTCGCTCTTTTATTGTAACGGCTTTCCCTAAAAAAGCTAATACACAAAACTAAAAAGAAGACATTAATAAAATGAATTTACAATTTTCAAAATCTACGCTTTTAAAGGGGATTGAAAGGAACGAAATATTTCTTTTTCTGAAACAAAAACAAACAAAAAATAAATAAATAAAAATAGAGCGCATAACATTTTTAATAAACTTCTATCATTTCTTAAGCCTTTCCAAAGTCGTGTGACTTATGTTTATTTCATTTTTTGCTCTAAAAATCATAATTATTTTCTTTTTTAAATTTATTTAAAAATAAAGTTTTTTAAATTTTTTTCACTTATTTTATTACTTAGATATTACTTACAGAGTCAAAATATTTATCACGATAATTCAAATTTCCATAACTGTAATTTTTAAGCTCTTCTGAAATATAGAAAGCAAAATTTGATTTCTTTTTTGTAAGTCTAGCTAAGATCTGCTTAAATATGAATTCAATTAAATAGTGATTTATTGAGAATATTGTTTGTTCATATTGAAGGCAATTATTCGAATAAATCTATGATAGAACAAAGTCTATAATAGAAATATTAGAGATTTTATCGTAAAAAACTCTTTCGTTAACATTGTTATCTTAACAAAAGCTTGCTTAATGAACTTTGCTAAAATTATTCATTAAAATGTACTAGCTGAAACAAACTCATTTTGAATGCGAACATTACATGATATCTATAAAAGAATCAAATGGAATTACGGAATCGAAAACAGGTGAGTAATGCATAGACATTCCGAGTGAAATGGATGCAGAAAATGGAGATGTCAGATTTAACTGATAAAGGAAAATTCATAATCAGGGAAGATTTATTTTTCCTTTCAAGCAGCTGAAATCTTTATACTTTGCTTGCAAAGCTATTATAAAAGCAATCACACAGTGTAGCAGAGGACTTTCATGACAGTAACAGACTTTGAAATAGGAGGCTTAATTGAAAAAGGTGAGACTTGTCTTAATATCTAAAATACTATAATTCCTACGCTATTTGTATTTATTGTGTAAATGTTTATGAGAAAAAAACCAGAAGAAACTTATGAATTTATTTGAATAGCACTTATACATTTTTTTAAATTTATATTCTCAACTAAAGCAAATAATTTGGGCTTAAAGTTCGAATTTTTAACATTTTTTGATTTAAATATAAGCGAATATAATTTTATATTGCATACGACAATTATTCATTTACTATTCTATTAAAGTTACTATATTATTTCATTTATTATTAAAATTGCGAATGTTCATGAAAAAAAGAAGAAACTTATTAATACTTTTGAATCGATCATATAAAAACTCAATACATTTCATAAAATTTAGATTCTCAACTAAAGCAAGTAATTTGTGCTTAAAGTTTGAATTTTTAAAATTTTTTGATTTAAATATAAGCGAATATAATTTTATATTGCATACGACAATTATTCATTTACTATTCTATTAAATTTACTATATTATTTCATTTATTATTAAAATTACGAATGTTTATGAAAAAAAGAAGAAACTTATTAATCCTTTTGAATCGATCATATAAAAACTCAATACATTTCATAAAATTTTGATTCTCAACTAAAGCAAGTAATTTGTGCTTAAAGTTTGAATTTTTAACATTTTTTGATTTAAATATAAGCGAATATAATTTTATATTGCATACGACAATTATTCATTTACTATTCTATTAAATTTACTATATTATTTCATTGATTGTTAAAATTGCGAATGTTTATAAAAAAAAGAAGAAACTTATTAATACTTTTGAATCGATCATATAAAAACTCAATACATTTCATAAAATTTAGATTCTTAACTAAAGCAAGTAATTTGTGTTTAAAGTTGACTGTGTTAAATTTTTAACTTTGTTTTTAAGTTCTGTTAAATTTGTTAAATTTTTTGATTAAAATATAAACGAATTTATTTACCATATTATTAAGTTTATTGTATTATTTCATTTACTATTGAAATTTGTGCACAGACGTTTGTTCAAAAAATAAAATTATTATGAATTGATTTAAAAAAACACTTATAATGACTCAAAGCATTTTATAAAATTATTATTTTCAACTACAGCAAATAGTTTCTGTAAAAAGTTTTCAATTTACATCATTTTAAACTTTCTTGATTTAAATGTACGCGAATTTATTTTTAATTACCTATTAAAATTTTTCATTTACTAGATTATGCGACAAACAATATTAACTGCAAGTGTAAAATTTGGAATCTCTCAGTAGAATCTCATCTGTGTTAATATGCATCAACACTTCTAGTCTAGTCAACTAGTTTTACAATTGTCTAGTTCTAGTCTAGTTCTTAAAATTTGACTTTTATAAACTACTTCAATAACTAATTTAGTAGATAAAAAAATTTTGAAAAAATATTATTTCGTAACAACTAGCTGGAACTAAGTAAAATAAAAAATAATGTGGTAATCAGTTTAGCTAAGTGTTGACATCCCAACCACTACAAGGTAAAAAAAATATGGTAAAAAGTATTGGCACTAAGGGTGCCGATACTTTTTGACGTAAAATCCATTTCTCCTGGAACATGTTACGGAACGAAAAATCTGATATATTGTGAATTTTACAGTAACAATTACCGTAAAAAGACTGACTCACTCTAATTAAATAAATATTATAATCAAAATTACGGTGTAATATTTAACGGTAAAAATGGATTTTACGGTAAAAGAAATTTTACGAATAATACATGCAAAGTGATGGTACTTTATGCTGCATTTGGATCCGGAATTTTTTACAGTGTACTATATGATTACTAAACTATTTTTTCCTAATTAATTTAACGGCATAATTAGTACAAGTGTCGTAACTTGTTAAGTACATTATTCAAAACATATTCCTGAATTAAAATGCTTAATATATTTTGTCATTTTTTAAACATCTTGATTTGTAGCACTATATATTTTAAAAGAACAATATTTGCCTTCATAAAATAAATCTATAAATATGAATATTATTTTTTATTTTCTATAGATTATATTTTTTTAAATATTATTTTTTATTTTCTATATATTATATTTGTTTTAAATATTATGTTTTATTTTATTTATATTTATAAATTTTTATTTTTTATTTTCAGAGTGTTTTAAACGATGACTCACAAAGTTTTGATATTATTTTCTCTCATAATTGCATTCAACGTAGCTATGAGCTCCCCAAAAAGAGGCTGCAGTGATAATTTAAATAAATTAGCAATAGCCAACAATTATCTAGGGCTCAAGCTTTACCATCTTCTAGTAAAAGGAAGCTCTGGAAATGTGTTTTTCTCTCCTCTTAGCATATCTACCGCTTTCGGTATACTTTACGCTGGAGCCAAAGGAAACACGGCAAAGGTAATTAGCACTATCTGTTACAACAAACTGTTACATTTCCTTTTATGTTATCCAATCATTTTCGAATCAGATTTATTTTTAATGTTATACGACTTGAGGATCACCAATAAAATTTTCTTTTTTTTGTTCGTTTTCTCATTATATTGTTAACGGTAAAGTGCAGATATCTGTTATTCCACTGGTTATCTAAATAATGCGCAGAGTTACTAGGGTAATTCATTGAAGTACTGAAAATTATTTTATTTCTCAAAACACCTAAGTAATCTCAAAATTACCTAGATAATCTGCACATAACTTACTAAGCATTCGTTAAGCTGTAGATTACCTATTATTCATTAAAGTGATAATAAGATCTTTGCAAAAACAACAGCAACGCTTAAGTACACTTAAATTAAAATAATACTATTTTGTTTTCGATAATCAAAGAATCAATCAAACAATCCACAAATTATTCGATAGAAAAAGAGAGACAAACTTTTGAACCTTAACAACGTGAAAGTCGTTAAGATGTTCATTACCTAGGTAAAATGAGGAAAACTTTTGGTACTGCACTTTAACGAATCGCAATAGTTAATCTGTAGATAATTTTGGTTACATGAACATTAAGGGCTTCCATTCTTTATCCGTAACATATATACTATAAATAAATTCTTATAAATTGAGACTTTTCTTAATAGAAAAAAATGTTTCCAGTTTCAACAAATTAATTATCTTTATTTTTTTTTTCTATACACGATACTTCAAAAATACGTGGCCCAAAATGAATGAGTGAGTTTGATGTACGAAAATGAATAAATAAAATGTTATACCGAAGCATGAAGTCATGAACGCTACTTGAGTCTGCTTGAGGCGATTGCAAAGTATACTTAATTACATAGTACAGACAAAATTAATTCTATTTATGCAGTATTTCCAAGTAGTCAGGACCTATTCTACTGCAGGGGATAATCAAAGTTTTACCCAGACGCCTGCACTCCAAAAAATTCTGAATCAAATTACAATTAGAAAAAAATTACGATATATAAAATTTTTTGTTTCGTAAAATTTCACAAGAAAAAATAACCGGAACCAAGCTGCTAAAAGTTTTGCCGTGAAATTGCACGGAGCAAATAATCTGATATACTGAAGTTTATACAAAAAATATTTAACATATATAATTCTCTTACGTGGCTCCCAAATTTTGGCTGTATTTCTTTTCCGAAGGTGGCAACGTTTGCTTTGTCTTGTTTACGTTACTATTTCTCTTACACGGCGACAAAAAAAAGCCTCATTACAACTCCCCGAATGGCAACACTGGAAAATCAATCAATGATTGCCGCTAAAAATGTCCCATGCCAAATCTAGCTGAGATGGCTCAACATACAGCGCTTTTAGAAACGGAAACTGAAATAACCAGAGAGCATCAGTTGCGGCAATCTCATACTATTAAGTTAGGCAGAAGTGAGTAGTCTTTGTCGATAGATCTCTATTTTAGTATTTTGTCTGAAGCGCTTTTTTTCACGAATTCATTTAACGAGTTTTAATTTATATCACGAATTATATTATAGCACATTTTAACGAATTACATGTCATTTATTTGAATTCAAATTTATTTTAATGACTTAGCATTTACTAAAAAGATGCAATCTTTTTTTTAAAAAAAAGTTTTTATATTGATTTGAATGATTGTTTTGAATTCTTAGAATTTTGTGCATTTGCAATGTACCTAAGTTAGTAGTGAGCGAAGCGAGCTTGGTTTGCGAAGCAAACCCTATAAGATTGCGTAGCAATTTTCGGGGGTTGACGAGCGTTAGCGAGTAGGGGGCGCATCCCACTAGTTTATTATAAAATCACTGCAGTTAAATAATTATTACTGAAAAATATACGATGTGAAAGTTTACGAGAAAAATGGGTTTTACCTTTCACAATACCTTTCACAAATTTCACAATAAAAAATATCCGGAACCAAAGTGCCAAAAGTTTTGCCGTGAAATTTCATGGAGCAAATAATCTAATATACTGAAGTTTTTACAAAAAATATTTATTGTAAAATCACTGCAGTTAAATAATTATTACAGTAAAATATACGATATAAGATTTTGCGATAAAAATGGATTTTACCTTAATTTTAACTTTATGAATAGTGCATCCAAGGTGCAGGTACTTTTAACCATAATTTAATTCTGATTTTTCACTGTGTAGAGTTCACTGTGTAGAGACAAGTGAAAGAATGGCGCAACTTCACATACTTACCAGGTGTTTTTAAAAAGCATCCTTTTAGAGCTTTTGAGTACCTTCTCTGACAGTATTGGGTAATAAATATGGGACATATACGGCTAAACAATAAATAAAACGTTTTAGAACTATTTCAGTTTCTTGTCCTTGTATAATACGTATGATTTTCAACCTCATCTAGTGACTTTTCTATAGAATATGCTATCCCATGTTCCAATTATTCCCTATATAACCTGCTTTTGCAGTTATTTCTTTTTTTAAACCCTTTGTATCATCGGAAAATGGAAAATCTTTTCATATAACACAGTATCATCCCTTCAGCAATAATTTCACTGTCTTTATAAAATAGCAATCGAAACAAAAATCAGAAAAAATCTAACAAATATTAACAACTATGTAAATTAAAAATCAAAGTTGCAAACAACATTTAACCTTTAGAGAGATAATAGATGAATATTAATAGATAAACTTAATCATCAAATTTTATCTATCAATTTTTAGTGAGAAATAAATCTTAACTTAATCATAATAAATCATAACTGAGAAATAAATCAGAAAATCATTCTAGAACGAGAGGATAGAACTTAAATGTACTGTTTTAATTTCCTGTGAGGAAGAATTAGCTGTTCTACCAAGCTCAATGACATTACGTATTTTTATTAAACTGATTATTTACCCCTTAAAAATATCGAGTTGTTCGGAAAGTAATTTCGTTTTTCCGACAGAGGATTTAATTGTATTTTTTAGAACTCAACTTTACACTTAAGTCGCATTATCATTATATGTTTTGAGAGCTGATACAGCTAGGCTTGTGTGTGGAAAAGTTCAATAAATTATAAGCAGTAGTTTTTGGTTGGTGCCCTTTTAAATATGGAGAGCAATAAGCACCATTTTCGTCCTATTTTACTTTTTCACAATAGAAAAGGTAAAAATGCTGTTCATTCCAGAAAAAAATAAACCGATGTGTATGGAGAAGATGTGTTGACAGAACGCCAGTGCCAGAATTAGTTTGCAAAATTTCGATCCGGCAATTTTGGTGTCAATAATGCACCACAATCTTGAAGGCCTGCTGAAACTGATAAAGACGCAATAAAGACATTAGTTGATGCAAATCGGCAAATAACAACACGTGAGAGGTTGAATTTATCGAATTCGATTGCTTATGACCGCTTGAAAAGCCTGGGTTCAACCTCGAAGCACGATATATGGGATCCCCATGTTCTCACAGAGAGAAATTTGTGTCGTCGCGTTGACGTCTGTGATTTGCTTCTCAAACGTCACGAAAATTATCCATTTTTGAAGTGCATCATTACTGGGGACGAAAAATGGGTTGTCTATAACAATGTCAAATGCAAGAGATCATGGAACAAAAAAGATGAACCAGCTCAAAGCATTTCGAAAGCCAATATCCATCAAAAAAAGTGATGCTGTCTGCTTTGTGGTATTTTAAAGGAAAAGTTGTTTTTGAGTTTTTACCGTATAACACAATAAATAATATGGAAGTCTACTGTCGTCCGTTGGACAAACTGAATGGTGCAATGCAACAGAAAAGGCCAGAATTAATCAACAGAAAAGGCATAGTGTTCCACCAAGATAATGCGAGCCCTCATACAAGTTTGATCACTCGCCAAAGGCTTTTACAGCTTGAATGGGGAAAACTGCCATACCCACCATATTCTCCAGATCTGTTGACTTCGGATTATTATTTGTTACGGTCACTACAAATTGTTTTAGACTGCAAAATCTTTACTTCAAATGAAGAGAATCAGTTTTTTGCCAGAAGAGACCAAACATTTTATGAGCGTGGAATCATGCTACCACCGGAAAGATGGCAAAAGGTGTCGGACCAGAATGGCCAAAATATAATTTAATAAAATATTTATTTATTATACGAAAATTGTCTTTCATTTTCCCTCCAAAAAACGAAATTACTTTCCAAACAGCCCAATACATTACGTAGTATGCATTATCAGTATTATAATGCATTATCGGTAACATAATATATCGCGTTGATGACTTTGCTGACATTTCGATAACTTGCTTCTCATTATGCTGAAAAGTGTTTCAAACGAACTTTAACAAATTTATATTTTAGGTAATATTAAACACAAAAAATTTAATAATAAAAACAATTACAGATTCAGGCTTTGTACTATACCTTGAAATCTATTCAATTTTGAATGATATGCAGTACGAGGTGTAACGATGAAATTTTCTTTGTCTTGGTTATTTTATTGTTATTCCCTTATTTTTGTTTCATTTCAAACATTTTTAATAGTTATAGCAGAATTTACTTAACATGTATAATTTAATTAACATGTTTTCCCCTATATTATCGTATAATAACATTTCTTGCCTTGTTTGGTGAGGATCTTCTATGACCAATGTTTGTATTTAGCTAAATTCTTTTTTAAAAATATCTAATCTTTTTAGAGCACTTTATTTTTCTAAAAATAAGTGCAATGCTGTTAAACTTATAAACCATTTTTTTTCTTTGTTAACTTGTGATTAAAGTAGCATAAAAAGTGAAAAAGAAGTGCAATCTTTATTTTTTCAGTAAAACTAAATGTACCTATATGTTTAAACATACAGGGGTTGGACGAAAATATGGAAACACCTCTACACTAACTCATTTTTTTTATATTTCGCAAAAAATATTTAGAGTATCATTTTATATCTTTAGAAGTGTTTAGATCCTGTGATTTCTCATAAGTATCATTGAAGCTTAAAGCTTTTAGATGTTTTATAAGCCGGCAATAAGTTAATAAGGAAAAAGTGGCCTGAATAATCTATGCCAAAAATATAGTAATGAACTTGAAATTTGCATCAATTACTTTGGTAATTATATGAAATAATTGTAAAAATCATTGTAGCCCTAGTTTGAGGACTCGTGGATGTATGAACATTTTTACAAAAAAAAAAAAAANAAAAAAAAAAAAAAACTTTTTCTTACTATAACTTTAGATATATTGAATAAAATTGAAGAAAATATTATTTTAAAATTTCAAAGAAACAAATTTTCGTTTCTCTTAAATATAATTTCCTTTTTTAGCAACTCAGATCTGTGTTAGGATACAATTCAGCTAAACTGAAAAGCAGCGAGGTTCCTTTGGCCTTCAACCGATTCCTCAACATAGTTATACCCGAAAACCAATCGCCCAATCCAGAATACATCTTGAGTCTTGCCAATGAATTGCTGTTAGCAGAAAACTTCAATGTAAATCCCGACTACAAAAACCAAGTACAAAATCTTTTCCGCGCATACATCGAAGATGTTGATTTTGAGAATAATTCTGCTCAAATTGCGGAACAAATAAATAATTTCGTAGATGAACAGACCCATGGAAAAATCACACAGCTCGTAAGTGGTTTGAGTAGATCCACTGTATTTTTCATAGTGAATGCTATTTATTTCAAAGGATCGTGGAAAACGCAGTTTGAAACGAAAAATACAAAATCTGAGAACTTCTATAATGATGGATCAAACTCTAAAGCAAAGTAAGTTTCGCTAATTTTTTTTTATAATATTAACAACCAAATATTAACAATCAAACATTTATGAAACGTAGCATGGCAGTTTATGCAAAAGAATTTTTCCAAAATGCTTTCAAATAAAATAACTAATGCATCACATTTTCCCTTAGCTTATTTATCTGTGAGCTAACAGAATGTTTTTTCATAAATTGTACAAAGGAGTCTAAGTCAGATGCTCCTTTCTAAATTTTTTTCTTATCTTTCTTTCGGCATGCAACTTTTGTTACAGGGGAAATTTTCAGGCAATAACTTCTCATTATGAAAGGAACCAATTTTAATTTTATTACTATCTTTCAATTCCAGGAAAGTTCCACTTATGCATCTGACATCAGAATTTCCTTATGCATCGGACGAGGACTTACAGGCTGTAAAGTTACCATACAAAAGTGACAATGTCAGCATGATTGTTATTCAGCCTGTTCATAATTTTATTACTATCTTTCAATTCCAGGAAAGTTCCACTTATGCATCTGACATCAGAATTTCCTGATGCATCGAACGGGGACTTACAGGCTGTACTGTCACCATACAAAGGAGACAATGTCAGCATGATTGTTATTTTGCTTTTTCATAATTTTATTAATACCTTTCAATTCCAGGAGAGAGTTCCACTTATGCATCTGACATCAGAATTTCCTTATGCATCGGACGGGGACTTACAGGCTGTGAAGTTACCATACAAAGGAGACAATGTCAGCATGATTGTTATTCTGCCTATTCATAATTTTATTAATGTCTTTCAATTCCAGGAAAGTTCCACTTATGCATCTGACAGCAGATTTTCCTTATGCATCGGACGAGGACTTACAGGCTGTGAAGTTACCATACAAAGGAGACAATGTCAGCATGATCGTTATTGTGCCAAAAGAACGTGGAGGTCTTGACCAACTTGAGAACAGTATAACGCCACAAAAACTCCAGGACATCCAAAATCAAATGTATACAACCAAAGTGACTGTTACGCTACCAAAATTCAACATAGATTATCAACGAACACTGAATTCTGACTTCAAAGACTTGGGTGCAACGGCCATATTTAACCCTGGATTGGCAGATTTCTCAGGTATAACACCACAAAAAGGAGTTTATGTCAGTGAAGTAGTACACAAGGCGGCTGTTGAAGTGAATGAAGAAGGGAGTGAAGCTGCAGCAGCGACAGGTATTGGCGGTCATGCTCTAGCAATCATAGAACCACAAAAATTTACGGCTGATCATCCATTTATATTTGCTATTATGGAGAACCAATATAAATTTATATTGTTTATGGGTCGTGTGAATGAATTGTAAAACCTGCTTCAATGTAACAATAGTTCTGTATTCTTAAGCATTGTTAATTAAAAATCATCTGAATTAATGACTGACTGTTCAATAAGATGCCATTGTCTTTATTGTATTCGTAGTGTTCCTAGGATTTCAAAAATCAATTAAAAAAGAAAGAAAAGAGAAATGTAGAGTTTGGTGCATTCTGATAGGGAAAACAGTTGTTTATATTCATGGATAATATTAGTTACATATTTCGTCAACAGATGGCGTTCCTGCATTAGACAAGGTATAAAACGATGTTTTTCCATGCATGTCGATTATTTTAATTGAATTAATCTGTTCAATCTGTTACATTTGTTCACTTTGCTTCAGTAAATTGTGGTAATTTTTGAAACATTATTTTATACTTTTTCTCAGCTGACTGCACTATCAGTTGTCAAACTCTACAATAATTTTGTAATTAATTTAAAACCCTCATGAGGATGAATTCCTTTATTTCTTATGTAGTAAACGCATACAGTTTTCTGCCGTTTCTATTTAATTGATTTCTCAAATCTAAATTCATTTATTATAGGGAACTCTGCACTTTCGAATGTGTCTATAAATTATGAAAATGGCATTCTGTAAAATTAATTATTATTTTTAAATTCTCCAAAAAACTAATTCAAATGTGGAATTCAAAGATCAAAATAAAAACATTTCTGATTAAGCACAAGTTTAATTTTTCAGTAAAGCAACTGATACAGCAACTATGCAAATGTGTAAGAAAATAATATTATACTCCATTGCAAGTTAAGAAAAGATTATTTCGGTATAGGATTTAAGTAATCATCAACTGCATATAATCCCGTTTTATTTCGTTATCAAATTATATTATTATGCTTTCAAAACTATATAAAAGTTTTTAAAAGTTAAATACTTCGGACGGAAATTTAATTCGTGCTATTTTTTATACGCAGGAAGAAGGCCATGCTACGTATTTTTAAGAGTTGGTGATGTTGATATTTTATTACGCTTGGAGCTTGGCGTCTATTTAGGGTATGCAAACAGGCTCTCTGGATAGGGATAATAGAGTTTTCATTACTTCCAACAGAGTATAGTTACAGGTTAACCCTGAGAATTCAGGTGCAAAAAGAAAGTGAATATTTTTTAGTGCGCTTTGAAAATATTTTAACTGTATTTATGTGTTTAAAGAGGGTGTAAATCAAAGTATATTGCTGATAAATAATGAAACTTTTTAAGGCAGAAGCTTGGTACTAGAAAGTTTAGAGCTAATAAAGCTTGGATGAATAAAATCAAATAGTAATTCTTAAACTTTTAAATATTTGATTATTTAATGTGTGTTGAATTGAAAATTATTAATCATAATTGTTAAAATTAAAAAAAATAATAGTTAAGTTTAAAATTATTTATAAAATTGATGCTTACTTCTCAACAAAATAGCGAGACAATTGAATTTTAGATACATGAAATTTTAAGAAAAATAAACAGATTGTGTTTGTAGCAAGGTAAACCCACAAGAATGCAAGAGGAATTAAAACAAATTAATAATTAGATCAATAGAGTAAGGTTATATATTATATCTTAAATTGCGTTTAAATTGGCCGAACAGTGGTGGTACAACATTGATACAAGCCGAACAACCCAATAGGCCCATTGGGTCATAAAGTTTTAAATGGTTAAGAGTTAAATAAAGATGTGAAATAAAATCATTATTGTGGGGTTACACAAATCTGTGGACTAAAGTATTAAAGACTGATCTACTCACCCTAGAGTTGACACCTTTTACATGTTGATCATTGTGTAATAACAGAGGCGATTCATAAATTATTGAAGGCCAGAACACTGTTTCGTGTAGCAACTATTTATTTATATCATCATAATTTGATATTAAATTACTATTCAACAATTCCGCCTTTCTATCAAAAATATGTATACATTAATTGCACTGAAACTCAACAATCCAAATTCTTCCATCAACAAAAACGTTGAATACACAGACATGGAGAAATCAAATAAGCATTCACAACCTTTTCAGTACGACACAACAAGGCATCTTCTACATTCAAAAATCATGGGTGTTGTCTGTTTTTTCCTCAGTCGTGCATCCCATAGAGTTGAAATATCTACTATTTCATCTCTATGGTGCATCCACCTTAAGAAAACACGGTCTCATTGTAAAATAACCAATGAGGATCAAAATGAAAAAAGGAGTACTAGAAAGGCCAATAAAAAAAAGTGGGCAGATCAGATTCAACCCCTTTAGAAACTATTGACCGACAGAAGAATCAAGTAAGAGAAGGTACAAGTAATTAAAAATTCACCCACTGTGAGAGGAAAAGAAAATGTCACAAAAGGGGTCTAAAACATTAAATTTTTCTATTTTTTTCTAGCTCCCATGTCTTGACCAGCAAAGACAGCTGCATAGGAGGTGTAAATGAAAGGGGGACATACATAAAACCCTATCTCACAACTGACCAAGGGAGGCACAGGTGCCAGCTGCAGAGGAAGCTAGGGAAGAGGAGTAAAAGGAGGATGCAGGAATAGTATCAAGCTACGGTTGGTAAAGAATAAGATTGGGGAAAATATCTTAAGGCAGTGCATGACTGAAAAAAAGGAAAAAAAAGTAATGAACAATTATAAATAAATTAATATTGCATAATTAAAATATAAAGCATAATAATAATCTGTAAAAGTTAATAATTAACAAAGATATGCAGTATTTAAATATATACATTGTAAATTGATAACAGATTTAATTATAAACTGAACGTTAATGAAGGTAAGAGCAGGAATTCGCAAACAAGAAATTACGAGTTAGGAGGACAAAAGTAAAGCAAATTAAAAAAACTTCAATAAATTAAGGAGAGTATGAACTTGTGATTATCAACATTATCACAATTCTCCACCTTCTTCGAGAAAAATTATATTCCCAAAGGGAATAATTTTTTTTTTTTTTACATCTATAAACTGAAAAGTAAATAGATGACAAAACAGTTTACAAATTGAGGTACGTTATTGCAGCAAACGGTGTGTACATGTGGAAAAATTTCAATATATTGCCTTCTTTTCATTTTGAAATTTCTTTTTTTTTTAAAAAAGTTCATGGTGTTGCAATTTTTCTTTTATTTCTTATTTCATTCCTGGTGTTATGGAATAACAGGATTGGGAAGATGAGATGCTGTATAACATGCTTGTGATACAAATCGCATTGTTGTTGTCACTGCCTAAGCAGTGAGTGGGTGAGTAGACAGTACAAAAAAAAGCGAGCACAGATAACAAGCCACATGCATCAAAAAAAACTTTAAATACATATATACATAAACACACATTTTGCTATAAAAGCAAATGAAAAATTTTAAAATTTAAATGAGCGAATGAATCATTTATATCCATGGGTTCATAAACATTACAAGAAAAGAGCTTGTTGTTGAGAATAACTACCAACAGTGCTTTTAAAAAAAAACTTTAAAAAACACGTTAACTAATATCCTTGACAAAAAAGATTACGATGCAAAAAAAAAAATTTTTTTTTTCTTTTTTGAAGAGATAATTTACAAAAAATAAAGACTAGATATATTTGTTCACTCTATATACCAGAACAAAGTGTTTGGTAGAATAATCCTCAAAAAAAATTCAAGTGCTGGTATTTACCAACAGCCAATCAAAAAATTGGTAGAGTAAAATGGTCAAAAACAAATAATATTTATGTAGAATAGACAAGGTGATAGTTAAGCGCGTACACTCAAGAATTGCACTCGCGAAGAAAAAAAATGATGTAAAAACGAATTACTTGACTTCACATATGTAAAATGTAATACTAAAGTAACAATGCTAAATCTTTGTGTCAAATAGTGATTTTCTGTCATTTCCTTTACATATGACAGACAAATAAAGTTGCATGATACCAAACATTAGTATCATGCTTACTTAATAGTGTATCCGAAGGACATTGAACTGTGAAGTAGATCAGTGATATATTCACTGTCCAAGAGTAAACATAACCACTACTACCGACAGCCACTTTATTATCACTACATAATATGATCACTATTGTTCTTATGCACCTGCTCAAACTTTTCTGTTTTCAGAATGCAGGGCAACTTGTAGAGCCTCTTGAAGAGGGGGAGATCAGCACTCAGAAGACTGGCATTTAAGAACATTCCGGATATGTTCCTGATACAGTACTAAATTTTGGAAAACAGAAGAACTAAAATTTTGAAAAACAGAATTTCCGGTAAGCAGTGACAACAGCGAAAGGTAAAGCCGGTAAGCTGTATGAATAGCTTAAATACCGCCTAATTTGGTTTAATTCTTAGAATTGTGGTTTCTTTCACTAGAAATGTCTATACCATCCAACTATGGTGATTTTGCTAGAATTTCTTTCTTGCGTCTGGCAAAATTTTGCACTCTTTTATTGAAACGGCATTCCCTAAAAAAGCTAAAACCCGAAAATAAAAAGAAGACATTAATGAAATGAAATAACAATTTTAAAACTCTATGCTTTTAAAGTGAATTGAAAATGACAAAATATTTCCTTTTTTGAAATAAAGAAAAAAAAACAAAAATAGAAAAAAAAATAATTAAAAAAATAGAGCGCTTAACATTTTTAATCAATTTCTGTCCTTTCTTAAGTCTTTCAAAAGTCATACAACTTATGTTTTCTTTTTCACTCTGAAAATATAACATAATTATTTTTTTTCATTTATTTAAAAATGAAGTTTTTAAAATTTTTTTGATTTTATTTTATTATTTACATATTAATGACAGAGTAAAACTATTTTTCACGATTATTTAAATTTCCATAAATGTAATTTTTAAACTCTTCTGAAACATAGAAAGCAAAATATGATAATTTTTTTTTTAAAATCTGCGCTTATGAAGTGGGTTAAAAGAAAACGAAATATTTCTTTTTCTGAAAACAAAAAACGAGCAAAAAAAATAATGAAAGTAAAAAAATATGGGGCGATAACTTTTTTAATGAACTTATATCATTTCCTAAGAATCATTTCCTTTCAAAAGTTATGTGACTTATGTGTATTTTATTTTCGTTCTAAAATAGCATAATTATTTTCTTTAATTTTAAGTTTTTAAAATGTTTTCATTTTGTTTTATCATTTACATATTAATGACAGAGTCAAACTATTTTTCACGATTATTTAAATTTCCATAAATGTAATTTTTAAGTTCTTCTGAAATATAGAATGCAAAATTTGGTAAATTTGTTTCGTTAGTCCAGCTAAGATCTGCTTAAATATGAATCCAATGAAATCGTGATTTATTGAGTGCATTGTTTGTTCATATTGAATGCAATTATTCGAATAAATCTATGATAAAATAAAATCTATAATAGAAATATGATTATCTAAGAAATCTGTATCAAAACAATTAATTGAAATATTCCATTGTTAACTTAACAAACGTTTGCTCAGAACTCAAACTAATGAAGTTCGTTGAAATTATTCGATAAAATGCAGTATCTCAAACAAACTGATTTTGAATACGAACATTACATGATATCTATAAAAGAATCAAATGGAATTACGGAATCGAAAACAGGTGAATAATACATAGACATTCCGAGTGAAATGGATGCAGAAAATGGAGCTGTCAGATTTAACTGATAAAGGAAAATTCATAATCAGGGAAGATTTATTTTTCCTCTCAAGCAGCTGAAATCTTAATACTTTGCTTGCAAAGCTATTATAAAAGCAATCACACAGTGTAGCAGAGGACTTTCATGACAGAAACAGACTTTGAAATAGGAGGCTTAACTGAAAAGGTGAGACTTGTCTTAATAACTAAAATACTATAATTCCTACGCTATTTGAATTTATTGTGTAAATGTTTGAGAGAAAAAAAACAGAAGAAACTTATGAATTTATTTGAACACTTATAATGACTCAATAATTTTTTATTTTATTTATATTCTCAACTAAAACGAATAATTTGTGCTTAAAGTTTGAATTTTTAGCATTTTTTGAATTAAATATAAGCGAATATAATTTTTTATTACATGCGACAATTATTCATTTACTATTCTAGTAAATTTACTATATTAATTCATTTATTATTAAAATGGCGAATGTTCATGGAAAAAAAGAATAAACTAATTAATACTTTTGAATCGATCTTATAAAAACTCAATACATTTCATAAAATTTAGATTCTCAACAAAAGCAAGTAATTTGTGTTTAAAGTTGACTGTGTAAAATTTTTAACTTTGCTTTTAAGTTTTGTTAACTTTGTTAAATTTTTTGAATAAAATATAAACGAATTTATATATTAAGTTTACTATATCAGTCATTTACTACTAAAATTTGCGTGCAAATGCTTGTCCAAAAAATGAAATTATTATGAATTTATTTAATAAAACACTTATAATGATTCAATGCATTTTATAAAATTATTATTTTCAACTACAGCATATAGTTTCAGTAAAAAGTGTTCCATTTTCATTATTTTCAAATTTTCTTATTTGATTGTATGAGAATTTATTTTTTATTACCTATTACAATTTTTCATTTACCAGATTATGCGACAAACAATATTAACTGCAAGTGTAAAATTTGGAACGGTACTTTATGCTGTATATGGATCGGATATTTTTTACAGTGTGCATGAATATTAAACTGTTTTTTTCCTAATTATTTTATTGGCTCAATTAGTATAAATGTCATAACTAGTTAAGTACATTATTCAAAACATATTCCTGAATTAAAATTTTAATATATTTTGTCATTTTGTAAACATCTTGATTTGTAACACTATGTATTTTAAAAGAGGAATATTTGTCATCATAAAATAAATCAATACATATAAATAATTTTTATTTTTATTTCTTATTTTCAGAGTATTTTAAACGATGACTCACAAAGTTTTGATATTATTTTCTCTCATAATTGCATTCAACGTAGTTATGAGCTCCCCAAAAAGAGGCTGCAGTGATAATTTAAATAAATTGGCAATAGCCAACAATTATCTAGGGCTCAATCTTTACCATCTTCTAGTAAAAGGAAGCTCTGGAAATGTGTTTTTCTCTCCTCTTAGCATATCTACCGCTTTCGGTATACTTTATGCTGGAGCCAAAGGAAACACGGCAAAGGTAATTAGCACTATCTGTTACAAAAAACCGTTACATTTCCTTTCATTTTATCCAATTATTTTGTAATCAGATTTATTTTTAATGTTATGCGACTTGAGGATCACCTATGAAATTTTCCTTTTTTTCTTGTTCGTTTTCTCATTATATTGTTAACGCTAAAGTGCAGATATCAGTTATTCCACTGGTTGTCTTGGTAATGTCCAGAGTTACTGAATGGTACTGAAATTTCTCAAAACACCTAAGTAATCTCAAAATTACCTCGATAATCTGCACATAGCTTACAAAGCATTCCTTAAGCTGTAGATTACCTATTATTCATTAAAAAGAAAATAAGATCCTTGAAAAAACAACAGTTACGCTTAAGTACACTTAAATTAAAATAATACTATTTTGTTTTCGATAATCAAAGAATTAATCAAACAATCCACAAATTATTCAATAGAAATAGAGAAACAAACTTTTGAACCTTAACGATGTAAAAGTCGTTAAAGTGTTCATTACCTAGGTAAAATGAGGAAAACTTTTGATAATGCACTTTAACGAATGTTTGTATAACGAGTTAATCTGTAGATAATTTTGGTTACGTGAACATTAAGGGCTTCCATTCTTTATCCGTAAAATATATACTATAAATAAATCTTTATAAATTGAGAATTTTCTTAATCGAAAAACATGACTCCAATTTCAACAAATTAATTATCTTCACTTTTTTTCCTATACATGATACTTCAGAAATACGTATCACAAAATGAATGAGTGAGTTTGATGTACAAAAATGAATAAATAAAATGTTATATCGAAGCATGAAGTCATGAACACTTTTCGAATCTGTTAGAGGGGATTACAAAGTATATGTAGTCACATTATAAAGAAAAATTTAATTCTATTTATACTGTATTTCCAAGTAGTCAGAACCTATTCTACTGTCAGGGATAATCAATGTTTTACCCAGACGCTTGCACTCCAAAAAATTCTGGATCAAATTACAATTACAAAAAAATTATGGTACATCAAATTTTTTGTTTCGTAAAGTTTCACAATAAAAAATAACCGGAACCGAATTTTGCCAAAAATTTTGCCGTGAAATCTCACGGAGCAAATAATCTGATATACTGAAGTTTATACAATAAATATTTATTGTAAAATCACTGCAGTTAAATGTTAAATAATTATTACTGTGAAATATAAGATACAAAATTTTACGGAAAAAATGGATTTTACCTTAAATTTAACTTTATGAATGATGCATCCAAGTTGCAGGTACTTTTAATCATAATTTAATTCGGATTTTTCCCAGTGTAGAGACAAGTGAAAGAATGGCACACCTTCTCAAACTTACCAGGTGTTTCTAGAAAGCATCCTTTTAGATCTTTTGAGTATCTTCTCTGGCAGCATTGGGTAGTAAATGTGTAGCATATACTGCTAAACAATAAATAAAATGATTTAGAGAACTATTTCTGTTTCTTGTCCTTGTATAATACGTATAATTTTCAACCTCATCTAGAGACTTTCTACAAAAAATGTTACCCCCTGTTTCTATTTTTCCCTATGTCACCTGCTTTGTAGTTATTTCTCTTTTTAAGCCTTTTGTATTATTGATAAACAGTAAAATATTTTCATGTAACACATTGTCATTCCTTAATAGAACCACTCTTAAATATAATTTCCTTTTTTAGCAACTCAGATGTGCGTTAGGATACAATGCAGCTAAACTGAAAAGCAGCGAGGTTCCTTTGGCCTTCAACCGATTCCTCAACATAGTTATACCCCAAAACCAATCACCCAATCCAGAATACATCTTGTATCTTGCCAATGAATTGCTGTTAGCAGAAAACTTTAACGTAAATCCAGACTACAAAAATCAAGTACAAAATCTTTTCCGAGCATACATCGAAGAAGTTGATTTTGAAAATAATTCTGCTCAAATTGTGGAACAAATAAATAATTTCGTAGAGAAGGAGACCCACGAAAAAATCAAACAGCTCATAAGTGAGTTGAGTAAATCCACGCTATTTTTCATAGTGAATGCTATTTATTTCAAAGGATCGTGGAAAACGCAGTTTGAAACAGAAAATACAAAGTCTGAGAACTTCTATAATGATGGATCAAACTCTAAAGCAAAGTAAGTTTCGTGGATTTTTTTAATAATATTAACAATTATATTAACAACCAAATATTAACAATCATACATTTATTAAACGTAGCACGGCAGTTTATGCAGAAGACTTTTTAAAAAATGCTTTCAAATAAAATAACTAATGCATTACATTTTCCCTTAGCTTATTTATCTGTGAGCTAACAGAATTCTGTATTAAGTATTGCTAATTAAAAATCATCTGAATTAATGACTGACTGTTCAATAGGATGCCATTGCCTTTATTGTATACGTAGTGTTCCTAGGATTTCAAAAATCAATTAAAAACGAAAGAAAAAAGAAATTTAGAGCTTGTCGCATTCTGATAGGGAAAACAGTTGTTTATATTCATGGAATTTAAAAATTAGTTACATATTTCGTCAACAGATGATGTTCCTGCATTATACAAAGTATAAAACAACTGTTTTCCTTAGCTTATTTATCTATGAGCTAACAGAATGATTTTTTATAAATAGTACAACAGAGTCTAAGTCAGATGCACCTTTCTAATTTTTCTTCTTACCCTTTTTTTGGCATGCAACTTTTGTTACAGGGGAAATTTTCTGTCAATAACTTCTCGTTATGAAAGGAACTATTTTTAATTTTAATAATGTCTTTCAATTCCAGGAAAGTTCCACTTATGCATCTGACATCAAAATTTCCTTATGCATCGGACGGGGACTTACAAGCTGTAGAGTTGCCATACAAAGGATACAAAGGAGACAATGTCAGCATGATTGTTATTCTGCCAAAGGAACGTGGAGGTCTTGACCGACTCGAAAAAAGTATTACGCCAGAGAAAATACAGGAAATCCAGAAACAAATGTATGCAACGGAGGTCACAGTTACGTTACCAAAATTCAGCATAGAATATCAACGAACACTGAATTCAGATTTCAAAGCCTTGGGTGCAACGGCCATGTTTAACTCCGGATCGGCAGATTTCTCGGGCATAACACCACAAAAAGGAGTTTATGTCAGTGAAGTAGTACACAAAGCGGTTGTTGTAGTAAATGAAGAAGGGAGTGAAGCTGCAGCAGTGACAGGTGTTGGCGCTACTGCTACAGCAGTTATAGAACCACAAGAATTTACGGCTGATCATCCATTTATATTTGCTATTATGGAGAACCAATATAAATTTATATTGTTTATGGGTCGAGTGAATGAGTTGTAAAACCTGCTTCAATGCAAAATAATTCTGTATCCTTAAGTATTGTTAATTAAAAATCATCTGAATTAATAACTGACTGTTCAATAAGATGACAATTGCCTATGCGTAGTGTTTCAACATTTTCCTATGACTTCAAAAATCAATTAAAAAAGGAAGAAACGAGAAACATTGATTTTGGTGAGTTCTAATAGGGAAAACAGTTGTTTATATTCATGGAATTTAAAAAATCATTTACACATTTCGTCAACAGATGGCGTTCCTACATTATACAAAGTATAAAACAATGTTTTCTGATGCATGTCAGATTATTTCAATTGAATTAATCCGGGAGTTTGTTACCTTTGTTCACGTTTCTTCAGTAAATTGTGGTAATTTTTGAAACATTGTTTTATACTTTTTGTCAGCTAGCAGCACTATCGGTTGACAAACTTTACAAATAATTTTGTAATTAACTGACAACCCTCATGGGGATGAATTCCCATATTTCTTATGCAGCAAACGCATGCAGTTTTCTGCCGTTTTTATTTAATTGATTTCTCAAATCTAAATTCAGTTATTTTAAGGAACTCGGCACTTTACGCATCGAACGTGTCAATAAATTATGAAAATGTCATTCAGTAAGATTAATTATTATTTTTAAATACTCTAGAAAACCAATTCAAATGCAAAATTGAAAGATCAAAACAAAAAGTTTCGGGTTTAACACCAAAAATTTTCAGTACTATACTTTACAACAAAAAATGGTCAAATGAAACACCAAGGAATTATCTATCTGCAGTAAATATCGCTAATGTTTTAGTAGCCGCTGTTTTTAGTGTTTAGTAATCTCAAAACTTGTTAAAACAAAACATAACAATAAGATAGAACTCCCATAAAAGTCAGCAAAGTTAGTTTTACCACACAATGTACGACAGGAACTGTTAATTTAGAAGGCATACAATCAGCGATTTTCGAAATAAAATTAGTTTTATCAAACCTAGGCGCATGACAGGGAGAACTTTAAACAAATTTTACTTGGGTTCAATCGAACGGAATTAGATACTAAATATTATAAAATTATTTAAAAATAATTAAGAGGAGCCATAATGATTCGGGAGTTAGAGAGTTTGAATCCCGGTGAGATGACCTTGGTTCAAATCCCAGCTATGTCAGTTCTATGCGAAATCCGCACCAACCTTAGTACTAACTTAGAATATCCTCAGTGGTAGTTGGATCATGGGTTAGAGTTGTAATCCGTCAGGTTGAATGTCGGATGTTTTCTTGGTTTTCCTCTCCGTGTAACGCAAATGCGGGTAAATTCCATTAAAAACTCCAGAAGGCAAATTCATCCTTCAATTGATCCAAGAGTTCCCTTGTCTTCTGGATTGGATTCAAAATTACAAGGCTACGGATTTGAACATCGATAATCATAAGTTTGAAATTGGGTTGGCTGTTTAACTGTGATTATAAATGAATAAATATAATTAAGAGATGTATGCAAATCTCTTTATGAAAACGTAATTATCTTTTTTTACGCAACTAAAAGTACATATGCTGTTTGTATAAGTGACCCTTTTTTGGCCTGTTTAAGAACGTGCCAGACAACAACAAACTTAGGCCTTTCGTTTATCTGCTATTTGATGATTTGCAGGAATAGTTAAAAGTAGCGTTTTTGGGGCCAAACACAATTCTTTAATACTGTAAATAACTGCGAGCTTGGCATAAACATTCTCCATTATTAGTATTTAGAATTAAAAACACCATTGAAAATGTATATAAACACTTGACTCTGGGAAAATCAAAGTATTCATTCGCATAATATCGAAAAGTTTTTAAAACCAAATTCGGAGCACTTCCGGTCTCAATAGTTTGGTTAGGAGAGGTATCCAAAGCTTGGACCTTTTGATGCTAATTTTACTTTTGTCTTATTTCACCATATCTGGTTAAAACAAATTGATAGCTTTTTACGCATAATTATGAAATTTCTTTATCTGGAAGTAATTCCAAGCAAAAAATAACTTTTAAATAAATATATAGTACTTTTTTTATTATTTTGTTTAATATTAGTCGAAAAAAATTGAATTGTAAGGTATGCAACTTCTTACATCATTTTAAAAAATATAATTTTACATGTTAAAATACAAAATTTAAGTGACATCGGTCAAATAGTTCCTAAGATATCAAATTTTTTAAAATATCTCTTTTTGAAGATCAATTTCTCAGGAACAATTCAACCGATTTCACTAAAATTTCATATTTTGTCAGGTAAAATTACAGCCTTTAAAATGTTGTAAAAAAATTCCATACATTGCAATTCAAAATTTATTTCTTAGATTAATAAACTGAAATAATAAAAAACAATAGTAAATGTTTACTAAAAATTATTTTCTGTATGAAATTATCTTTGAATAAAGGAATTTTATAATTGTGTGCGAAAATGTTTCATTTCGCTTAAAAAGCTCTCGAGATATAACTAAATACGCAAAAAGTAGAATTAACATTAAGGGGTCCAATCTTTGGATCGCTCTCCTGACTAAACCATTGAGACCATATGTCCCAGACTGCGGCTACCCCTATATTTTGGGGGTTAGAAATCCGAATTCTTAGGGGAAAAAAGGTATGTTTATTCAGAAAAAGTGCGTTTTTGTGTCTGATTTCGTAACTTAAAATATTCTTTGCTCTTATTGATTAGCATATTTGAGGTCATTCCCTTGAGCCATTAAAATTGAGTCCTAGAATGGGAAAATTTGATTACTGGATCAAAAGTTATTCAGGTAGTCTGTTTTTTATTTTGCGCACTGTATCTTATACAAATCTACAATTCTAAACAAATCTGCGTCGAATTTGATGTATATAACACGCCGAAAAAGGTAACGGACCACTCTGAATAACATTTGATCTAATGATCAGATCTTTACATTCTATGACTAAATCTTAATGGTTCAAGGCGGGTGACCTCAAATATGCTAATTAATTAGTGCAGATGATTTTTAAGGTTATGAAATAGGAAACAAAAGCGTACTTTCTCTGAACAAATATGGATTTTTTTTAATGGATTCGTATTTTTGACCCCGAAAATATAGGAAGCAGCCGCAATCTGGGAAATATGTTCTCCATAGTTTGGTCAGAAGAGCGATCCAAAGTTCGGACTCCTAAATTTCCATTTTACGTTTTGCATATTTCGTCATATCTCAAGAACTTTTTAAGCGAATTGAAAAAGTTTTTACTCATTTTTAAAATTCGTTTGTTGAAAGATAATTCTAAGTAAAAAATAAATTTTAATAAATGTTCTTCTCATGGACGTGCCTTTTACAAAAAAGTAAAAAATCTTTTCAAACTATCTCATTAAATAAGAAAGAAAACGTTACAGAATTTTAAGAATAATACCAACATTATTGTAAATAACAATAGATAAAAACAAAGATTAAAATGAACAAACATGAAGATTAAAATTTTTACTCATTTTTAAAATTCGTTTGTTCAAAGATAATTCTAAGTAAAAAATAAATTTTAGTAAATGTTCTTCTCATGGACGTGCCTTTCACAAAAAAGCATAAAATCTTTTCAAACTATCTCATTAAATAAGAAAGAAAACGTTACAGAATTTTAAGAATAATACCAACATTATTGTAAATAACAATAGATAAAACAAAGATTAAAATGAACAAACATGAAGATTAAAATTTTTACTCATTTTTAAAATTCGTTTGTCCAAAGATAATTCTGAGTAAAAAATAAATTTTAGTAAATGTTCTTCTCTTGGACGTTCCTTTCACAAAAAGGTATAAAATCTTTTCAAACTATCTCATTAAATAAGAAAGAAAACGTTACAGAATTTTAAGAATAATACCAACATTATTGTAAATAACAATAGATAAAACAAAAATTAAAATGAACAAACATGAAGATTAAAATTTGTACATATTATTAGCTTAAAATTGATATGTAAGTATATAAAAACAAAAAGTATTAAAATCTGATAAATCACAGTTGAGGGAGGCAGATGAATGAAGAGCCAAAACCTGTTTGATTGCGGAAGGAGACAGAGGTGTTGAAAAACCTTCGTTAGAAACGCCTTTGATTGTCAACCTGAAATCAAACAGACAAGTTTTGATGAAATTTTTTGTTTTTTCCTCCCTTAAGAATCAATTTGCCACTACAAATGAGTATACTTTTTGTTTTCATTTTCAATAAAAATTTTAAAAATATTAATTATGTTTTGCAGCAGATTAACATTTCATTTTAGTTGAGTACTGATTCATAAACTAATATATTTTCTTCACTTCGTTCAATTTCATGATTGACATTTAGGAAGAAGAATCAGTTAATTTTAAAAAATGACTTGACATTATTATTGGTTAAAAATGCACTTTAACTCATTATCATTCAAATTGATGAAATAATTCAGTATAGGGCTAAAAGAAATCTTAAAATCTAATATTTCACCAGCAAAATATTTACAATAACGTTGGCATTATTCTTGAAATTCTGTTCCGTTTTCTTTCTTATTTAATGAGATAGTGTGAAAATATTTTATACTTTCTTGTCACTTTTTCGTGAAAGGCACATTCATGATAAAAATTTTATCAGAGAAGCCCGTGGATAAAAAAAGGCTAAATTTGCTTTTAAAAATAACTAATACTATATAGTATTTCAAATTCTCACATTCTTAAGTGTAAAAACACTTCGAAAAATTATTTTGCCTCATTTTTATATTATAGGCGTCGTTTGTTCGTAAATAATTGTAGTGTTTATACACCGAAGAGCCATTACATTATGACCACCCTGCTAATAACATGTAGTACCCCCTTAAGCCCTCAAAACCACCCGCCGTGGCATTGATTCCACAAGGTGCTGATAGGTAGTCTGAGATATCTGGTACCAAGCGCTCACCAACTGGTCCTGCAATTCCCTCACATTGTGAGGGGGTAGCGTGGCAGCACGAATTTGGCATTCCAAGTAGGACCACAAATGCTCTATTGGATTAAGGTCAGGTGAATTTGGGGGCCAAGACATGACTTGAAAGTCACTGGAATGTTCCTCGAACCAATCCATGACGATTCGACGCTTATAACATGGTGCTTTATCCTGTTGGTAAACACCATCCCCCGAAGAAAAAACTGTTGCCATGAATGGGTGAACCTGATCTGCAACTATATTCAAGTAGCTTGCAGACGTCAGGGATTG